TGAAATAAAACAAGTTAGGGAAAAGTAAAAAAAAATGTAATTAGAACAAATTTAAAACACTATTCTACGTACACAAAATATTAACAAATAGAAGCAAGTAACAACTTGAGAACAATCACAAAAAAATATATATAAAAAGGGGAGGAAAACAACATACTCTTAAAAGATATAATAAATTATTATAAAACTTGAGAAATTTTAACTATTGTTGTAAAGGTAAAATAAGCATGAGTTTTTATTTTAAGTTTCTTTTTTCTTTTAAATAAAAATTTAAAAAATTAATTGAAAACATATATATGAGAATTTTGAATATAAATTGGTCAATAAATAATTAACACATGCCCAAAATTGGGCATATGTATATTGAATCTTGTATTTATTATTTTGAATTACTTTTAAGTAAGTTGGGTATTGGGTATCCAAATAAAAAATCCAACTCGCCAAATGAATAAGTTAGATTTTTCTTTTCCAACCTAACAAAACCCATAATCCAACCGATCCAACCCATCTTTTAAAATTAATGGACGGGTTGGGGGGATCGTTGAATTTTGGGCTTTTCTGCCACCTCTAATTCCACCGGTGATTGCAAAATAGGCAGTCAAATCACTATTGAATTGCAGCAGTTGCTGATTGGGAAATTGGTAGTTGAAAGGGAAAAGAGAGGGGCATAAGAAAAATGGTTAGTTAATATAATAAATTAATGTAATACCCATTCCTTACAAATGTTTACCGAGCAAATGTTATTGTAACTAGTGCTCATGACACACTCTATCATGTGTGCAGTCTACAAAAATATATTTATCAAAATTATCCCTTTAAAGAGTAAAGAGTTTTTTTATGGGTCAAATTCGATTATCATGCAGGTGATCATGTAGAAAGATAATAGAAGTGGAGTAAAATACATGGGCATTAAGAGTTGGTGAAAGAAAGTTATAGTGAGTGAACAATTGAACTGATAACTACTTTTTGATTCTTGCTAATTATGGAGATTTTTTTTTTGAAATTATTGGTACAAATTTGTCCTTATAATTAAGGGTATATTACAAATTTTAAAAAGTGACTGACACAGTATGTTTACATATAGTGACACTCCCCCTTTATATATTGTATAAAATATTTTTCCACCAAAACCCATACTATATTTTTTTAAATATGATCTAAATTACAATTCTAATTCTTAAACTTGAACCAAGCACCTCCTAAGTATTCTTTGAAATGTTTTTTTGAGTGTTTTTAAAATTTAAATTTTGATTAGAGTATTGGTAAAAGTTATGATTTTTTACTACCGCCCATCACTGTCACCCACCTCTCCTTCCTACTTCATCACCACCATTGCCCTTCCTCTTCTCTCTTCCTCCCTTTCCTTTCTCCTTCCTCCTTCGTCCTCCTCCCTCTTCCGCTTCCTTCCCTCCCCTCCCCCGCTTCCTTCTTTCCCATTCTCTTCCCTCCTTTTCCTTGTCTCCTGCAACCCACCTCCTTTCCCTTCATTTTTCTTGCTGTGATCGGTGCAACCAAATTTGTGGTTGCGGGAGAAGGGGAAGAGAGGAGGAATGAGAGGATGGGAGAAGCGGAAAAAAAGAGGGGAGGAGAAAGGAGGGGAAGGAAGGGAGAGGTAAGAGAGGGGAAGAGGGAAGGGAAAGGCGTGAAGGAGGGAGAAGTGGCTTGTGAAAGGTAACTTTATCTTTGAAATTTTTTCAATTAATCATTGGTTATGGGCTTTACATAGCTTTTTTTCATTGGACATATTGCAATGGTTTGTTCAGTTTTCATGTCTATTTTTTCTTATGATGAATGCTAATTGACTATCATCCTCTGTTATCTCTGTGTTTAAGAATGGAGATGGTAGTCTTGGAAGAAGGTGTATGTTTGTAGTGTTTTTTAGGTTTTTATTTCAATAATAGTGAGCAGGTACCACTTATGAATGTGATAGCCCGTTTCCCTACTTTTTTTCCTGTTGCAATGCGCTACACATCAATGATATCTGCTCTTTTTTTTGGGTTACAGAGGAGGGATTTAAGGCCCCTTGAGCAGGAATTAATGATATCTGCTCTTACATTAGTAGCTCTTTAAGTTCTAGTGGAGGCGCTTGCTTCCAAATGGGTTTTGACTGAGCTGTAGTTGAATATGAAATCATGTGAAGTCTGTATAGAAGAAATTTTAAAAGCTTAATAGCCAAATACATCAAAAGTTAATTTATTTCAAAAAGATTGTAGTGTTTTCTGTGTCTAATGATATATTGTGGCATTAATTTAAATATTAATCACTTCCCTGGTTGATTTATCATCTCATGTAAAATGTCGAGACGTTTGCTTCATGGTCTTTATTTCTATAAGCATGAGCTATTGTTGATTGGGATTCTTGATGTCAATTAGTAATTATATATCCTGAATAATTACTAACTATCCAGTTATTAGTTTGGTACAATAAACTGAGATACTTTGTACGGTGGCAATGTTTATTGATTTAAGTGCTGGTTAATTGTTCCTGAAATGGTTGCTTGTCTTCAATTTTTGCACGCTTTATGTTAAGAGCATGCATCAGTTATTCACAAATATTCGGAATACCCTGAACACCCATCTGCTTATGCACTATAAGCTAGTATACTGGTTTTCTACTAAGTTAGAGAAGCTGAGTGGGCGAATTTTTGGACTGAAGAGCAAAGGAAGATTATTTCCTTTTTCTTTTTGTATTCTGCTCAGCAGACTTGTGTCATTTTCACTTGTCTTGGACACCTATAAGAATGTACTGCATGCTACCGATATGTAACTTTGCATTGCCTCGTTGTGGCAGCTGGTGTTCCTGTTTTTAGGACTGCCCATGCGCATTTTGTTTTACCCCTAAGAAGTATCACATATAGATACTTTGTTGTGCCAATCAAGTTACTATTCAAGGCTAGCTCACTGCTGGTCAAGCAGGTGATGAACGTCCAATATGATCTATGATGTAGTGTTTTTCGTTTTTTTTTTGTGAGAATCTGATGTAGTGTTTTTCATGACTGTCTAACATTATATGATTGTAAAGTAGATGTTCTAATTTCAATTTTGCATAACTTTTGAATGGTGAAAAATTTGTCAAGTTTATGGCAAGTTTTGTAAAAATTAGTCAAATTAATTTCACTTTTGTGTATAATAGTAGTTAAACTCGAGCAATGAAGTGTATATGTTATAAATGCCAAAGCTTAAACTTAATTTCGATGTTGGTGTATGATAAAATTAGCGACGAGGTATGTTATAAATGACTTTTACAAATAATCCAACGATTGAATTTATTACAGGGTTGTGGTTTTGCCTGAATGTCTCAGCTGGTTGTTGCTCTTGGGGCTTATCGAGGTTTTGGCTAGTATTTCGCGAAAAAGGAAGTATTTGGCTGTATCAATGTTTGCTTTTTTCAGACGCCAAGAGACTACTAATGGCTAGGACTGGTGTTGCTTCCAGAGGCCAAAAGTTTCGATTGCTAACAAACCATTTCAATGTTAAAGTAGCCAGAAATGAGGGCTACTTTTTCCACTACAGTGTATATAACCTCTATCTCTATGATGGTTGTTTAAGCAAGCAATTTAGCACAATAATTCTGTTCTTGAAATGCAAGTGTCGATTTATATTATCATTGTTGCAATATTTTCTATTTATATTGTCATTGTTGGTTGTAATTTTTCCCTGAATGTCTTAGCTGGTTTCGGGGTTTTGGCTGATATTTAGCCCAAAAAGGAAGTAATTTGCATTTTCATTAAAGCTTGAGTAACAATTAGCTAAATGCAAGAAAAAGTAAATTATTAAAGGTACAAATTGGTTTTTTCCTTTAAATTAAATTTTTAGTAAAAATTGGCGAAATGTAAGAAAAAAAGAAATTATTATATATAAAAAAGAAAAAAAGAAAAAATTTATGTAAGCAAATGTTTCATGAAAACAATTCTAATTCCTAATGAATTCTTCTCTCATCCAAACAAAGAATTTGGAATTCCAAATAAATTCCGTATCAATTCTATGCATTTTCCAAACGATAGAATTGCAAGGATTTGGATTTCCAATTCATAGAATTCCAATTCTATAGAATTTCAATTCTAATTCAATTCCAAGTCTGTAGAACCAAACGTAAAATTCTTTGATACGAAATTTATTTGGAACGTAAAATTCTAATTCAATTCCAAGTCTGTAGAACCAAACGTAAAATTCTTTGATACGGAATTTATTTGGAATTGATATGGAATTTATTTGAAATTCCAAATTCTTTGTTTGGATGAGAAAAGAATTCATTAGGAATTAGAATTGTTTTCACGAAACATTTGCTTACATAAAATTTTTCTTTTTTCCTTGTTTTTATATAATAATTTATTTTTTTTCTTACATTTAGCTAATTTTTATTAAAAATTTAAAGGAAAAAACCAATTTGTACCTTTACTAATTTACTTTTTCTTGCATTTAGCTAATTGTTACTCAAGCTTTAATGAAAAATGCAAATTAATTCCTTTTTTGACAAAATATCAGCCAAAAACCCGAAACCATCTAAGACATTCAGGCAAAAATTACAATCAACAATGACAATATAAATAGAAAATATTGCAACAATGATAATATAAATCGACACCTGCATATCAAGAGCAGAATACTTGTGCTAAATTGCTTGCTTAATCAACCATGATAGAGATAGAGGTTATATACACTGTAGTGGAAAAAGTAGCCCTCATTTCTGGCTACTTTAACATTGAAATGGTTTGTTAGCAATTGAAACTTTTGGCCTCTGGAAGCAACACCAATCCTAGCCATTAGTAATCTCTTGGCGTCTGAAAAAAGCAAACATTGATACGGCCAAATATTGATATAATCCATGACTACTATAATGAAAAAAGCAAATTACTTCCTTTTTTGCAAAATACCAGCCAAATCCTCGATAAGCCCCAAGAGCAACAACCAGCTGAGACATTCAGGCAAAACCACAACCAACAATGACAATATAAATAGAAACTATTGCAACACAAATTCACGATTCTTTAGAAGAATGCATTCTCACTAAAAGTTTAATAAATGTATTCTCGCTAAAAGAAATAGAAAAATGTATTCTCGCTAAAAGCCTAAAACAAGCCAAAGAGAAAGGTAGCTCTTTTGAATTGTAATAGTCCTTTCTAGCTTCAAAGGTAAGACAAGAATTCAACCAATTGTGGATTTCAAAAACACAAAACAAAGGAACCAAGCCATCAGCTTCAACATTGAAACACCAAGGCACCACCACTTTCCTCCTCCTTGCAGACCTACGCAGCCTTCATGAACATCAAAAATTCGATGGTGACGTCAAAAAATATAGTCCACAATTGCCTTGGAAAGTTCTTACACAAATATAGTCAGCAAATGCACCAGCAACCTTCCTTTTCCCTGTATGAAATACTCCTGATTTTTTAGGGGGTTTAAGACACAGATGCCCATGCCAGTTCACAATGTTTCCATGTCAGGTAAGGGTGACTGTAAAACTGCATAAGCTTAATGCTAAATTAAGACCATTTTCCTTTGACAAATAATCCTTGAATAAGGACACAATGACCATTTTGCTTTAGCTGTAGAGCAAATGTACCATTTTCACAAGAAAGGAAGCACCTGCCTCTTGCTTCTTAATATCATTCTCATCTAATATCCAGCGCCTTCCAAGAAATTTGACTGGGTCACTAATTTGCTACAACAAGTATACAATAATCTCACATCCTTTAAAGAACAAGACACTGCACCTGGTGTGAAAAGTTAACAAAATAAGAAAGTAGAATTAATAGGCTTAATCATGGGAAATTGCAGTTATATCCAAGGCTTATTTACAGATGTTACTCTACAAGCAATTAGTTTAAGTTCTTGTTCAAGTAGACCAGGCTCTGCTTCATTTAATTGGAGAAAACCTCTCTCCACTACCCTGTAATAAATTCAATCGTGGGATTATTTGTAAAAGTCATTACCGTTTATACCATACCTCGTCGCTAATTTTATCATACACCAACATCGAAATTAAGTTTAAGCTTTGGCATTTATAACATATATACTTCATTGCTCGAGTTTAACTACTATTATACACAAAAGTGAAATTAAGTTGACTAATTTTTACAAAATTTGCCGTAAACTTGACAAGTTTTTCACCATTCAAAAGTTGTGCAAAATTGAAATTAGAACATCTACTTTACAATCATATAATGTTAAACAGTCATGAAAAACACTACATCGAATTCTTACCCAAAAAAAAAAACAAAAAACACTACATCATAGATCATATTGGACGTTCATCACCTACTTGACCAGCAGTGAGCTAGCCTTGAATAGTAACTTGATTGGCATAACAAAGTATCTATCCGTGATACTTCTTAGGGGTAAAACAAAATGCGCATAGGCAGTCCTAAAAACAGGAACACCAGCTGCCACAACGAGGCAATGCAAAGTTACATGTTGGTAGCATGCAGTACATTCTTATAGGTGTCCAAGACAAGTGAAAAGGACACAAGTCTGTTGAGTAGAATACAAAAAGAAAAAAGAAATAATCTTCATTCGCTCTTCAGTCCAAAAATTCGCCCACTCAGCTTCTCTAACTTAGTAGAAAACCAGTATACTAGCTTATAGTGCATAAGCAGACTGGTGTTCAAGGTATTCCGAATATTTGTGAATAACTAATGCATGCTTTTACCATAAAGCGTGCAAAAATTGAAGACAAGCAACCATTTTGGGAACAATTAACCAGCACTTAATCAGTAAACGTTGCCACCCATACAAAGTATCTCAGTTTATTGCACCAAGTTTATTGCACCAAACTAATAACTGGATAGTTAGTAATTATTCAAGATATATAGTTACTAATTGACATAAAGAATCCCAATCAACAATAGCTCATACTTATAGAAATAAAGACCATGAAGCAAACAACTCAACATTTTACAAGAGCTGATAAATCAACCAGGAAATTGATTAATATTTAAATTAATGCCACAATATACCATTAGACACAGAAAACACCACAATCTTTTTGAAATAAAATTAACTTTTGATGTATTTGGTTATTAAGCCTTCAGAATTTCTTCTATACAGACTTCACATAATTTCATATTCAACTACAGCTCAGTCAAAGCCCATTTGGAAGCAAGCGCCTCCACTAGAACCTAGAGAGCTACTAATGTAAGAGCAGATATCATTAATTCCTGCTTAAGGGGCCTTAAACCCGTAGTGCATTGCAACAGGAAAAAGAGTAGGGAAACGGGCTATCACATTCATAAGTGGTACTTGCTCACTATTATTGAAATAAAAACCAGAAAACACTACAAACATAAACCCTCTTCCAAGACTACCATCTCCATTCTAAAACACAGAGATAACAGAGGATGATTAGCACTCATCATAAGAAAAAATAGACATGAAAACAGAACAAACCATTGCAATGTGTCCAATGAAACAAAGCTATGTAATAAAGCCCATAACCAATGATTAATTGAAAAAATTTCAAAGATAAAGTTACCTTTCATAAGCCCTAAATGTGTCTGAAATTTGGGGAAAGCAGAAGAGCTGAAGGAGAGAGCCCAGAATGTCAGGCTGAGAGGAATAATGGTGATGACAGCAGTAATGGAGGAGTGGCAGAGACAAGTGTAGAGACGGAGTGACAAAAATTGGACGGAGTAGGTCTTGCGATGGGCAAAGTGATGGGCGGAAGGTGGCGGGATTGGTAAAGGATGGAGGGAGTGGCCAGAGAAACAGAAGGCAGGGGGAAGACAGTGGCAGGAGAGGTTAGCATTGGAGGTGGTAACAATGGTGGAGAAGGAGCAATCGGAACGGGAAGCTATTTCTTGCAACTTATGCTTGACCCGATTTTAATTTTTGACCCATGTTAGATCCGCGTGTAGATCCGGTTTAGTTGTAGAATTGGAATTAGAATTCTTTTGGTCCGGTAAAGAATTCAATTTATGGAATTGGACTCCCATAGAATTTAAATTCAATTTTAATTCTTTAAATAGGGCAGAATCTAAACAGCAGAATTGAAATTGGGATCCCAATTTCAATTCTAAACCCCAATTTTACGGGGAACCAAACGTACCCTTAGTGTTTTGGGGTTATTTTTGGATTATGTTACTGTAAATTCCATAAAGAAAAACATGTATTTGGAAAACCCCCTGTGGGGTTAAGTTCCCACATCGCTTGGGGGGGTTTGGGGGGTTTAGTAGTTAAGTGCTGCGGAGCACTTCAAAAGTTGCCGGCTTTTGAAGTGTCTTCGCAGAGTCCATTTATCGAAACACTCATACAAAAAACTGTGAGTTATGAAAGGGAAAACCCCCTAATGTCCGCAGAGCCTAGGTCTTGTTTAGATTGTTTTATTTTTTTGGGGAAAATTTTTTTCCATTTTTTAGGAAAAAATAAAAATAAAAAAAAACTCAAAAGATGATTAAAAAGTAGTGTTTATATCAAATGCTATTCTTCAGCATTATATATTCTATTGTTTGTATAGATTATTATGACGTGAACCTACCACGGGCAAACAGCACAAAAGTATCGATCGTGGTCGTGGAAGCCATGAAATGGCCAAAAGGGGTACACATGTCAAACCAGAGTCAGTCACCCTTAAACCGTCCACCCGTACGCGTGTCAGATCAGGTTCCAAAAATCCAACTCTTTCTTTTTCCTCTCTCTATATATTGGTCGCATCTCTCCTCGGACTTTAAATATTTCCCAGACTCTCTCAACCCACCCAAGAAACGAAGTCTCTGGTCGAATTCTTTATCAGGTTAGTGAATTTTTAATAGAAATCGATTTATAAGCTATCTAGAAAATGAATTTTCAATCCAGAAAATTTATTTCCAGTCTACTACGACTAGAAAAGACGCGAATTTATTAACGCTTCATCTATTTGTTATTCTAATCTCCTGTCAATTTTGAACAATCTTGATCCTTTTTTTTTCCTTTTGGACCTGTAATGGTACTTCAGTTTAGCTTTAGAATTGATCCGAATTTTTTCAACGGCTTTGATTGTTGATTAACTGTAGAAAGGTGGGGAATGAAGAAATTAGGGTTTTGGGAATCTTAGATTCTCATAATTGAAGAGTAAAAGAATCTTTAGAGCTTTTTGCTCTCTTTTTCTCTTTCTGGTATTTGTATATTGTGCAAAAAGGGAAAAAGAAAAGAGAGAGAGACAGAATTGAGGTTATTGATTTTTGGTGTCCAAATAAGAAATTCTGTGATTGGAATGAATTATAGTGTTATATGGACTTACCTCATGCAGTATATTTGTAAAAATGTTTGCTTTTCTGTTTGGGTTGGGAGTACTGTGTTGTTTGTTGTTTCCATGAATTTTTAGGTATTGATTTTTTGCTTGTTACTCGGTTTTTTTTTAAAAAAATTTAATTAATGAGTTCATTGTCTGCCATTTTTTGGGATTTAATAAATTAGTGCAAGGGGTCTTTTGCTCTCATCGATTATGAGTTTTTATCATTAATCACAGTCAGTTTTATTTTAGATCATTGAATTTGTCTAATGTTGATGAATATTTAGTTCTTTTTCCTGGTTGTAGCTTTTATGACAAGTATGTAATGTCACTTTTATGTGTTTTTAAATGCCACCAATTTTATATGATTGCAGGAAGAAATGGGTCGCTCAAGCCGCTCAAGCCGAACCATTTATGTGGGAAATCTCCCCGGAGATATCCGTGAGAGTGAAGTGGAAGACTTGTTTTACAAGGTATTTTATTTTACTTTTATTTTTTTATAAGCATTCCTCAAGATTAGTTGTAGTTAGTGCCTTACTGTCTGAATTTATGTTCTAACCATACAAATATGGTCATATGCTTGTAATTAAGTTGAATTTTGAACTTATATTTTCAAGGCTGCTTGTCTATTCTGCGAGTTAACCTTCCTTTGATGCTATTTTGGGCAAAGAGATACTATGAAAAGCGGAGAAGGGAAATGGAATAAGCTAAACCTTTATTAAAGAACAGAGCCCCTTTTCTTGTTTTCTGTGGTATTAAACCTTATGCTGGAATTAGACTAGCTTGAAGCACAACCATTGGGATTCCAAGGTCGAAACTTTTGCCATTAATCAAATAATTTTTGTGTTAAATTTGAAATTTCGGATGATTTTGTGGCTGAATCATGGGATGCATTCCTATGTTGGAGTAATTTAGTTCTGTTTTCTTCATTGGTGCCTAATATTTAGAAATGACATGTGCATGCATTTGTCATCGGATGTTGAGATTCTCTTGATTGGACCGAATAGAGTATGGCATGAGGTCCTTGGGTCGTGTTTCCTAGTTGGTTAGTATGTGCATGTACAAGTCAATATTTGCTAATTGTTTTTATGTTCTCTCTCTAATGATTTATTGCAGTATGGTCGTATTGTGGATATTGACTTGAAAATTCCTCCTCGACCACCTGGTTATGCATTTGTGGAGGTGAGTTTCTCGATTGATTCAGGATTTGAGTTTTCAATGGATCATTAGTGGTTAGTTATGCCTGGATTATTGACAATCAACAAGGTGAACTCTTTGGTGCAGGCCTTTCTGAAAAAAGAAAATCTACAGTAGCTTTTTTTGTTCTAATTTTGTGTTTCACTATCTATTCTGACTTATGGACTCTTTATACGCTCAGTTTGATGATTACCGTGATGCTGATGATGCTATTCGCGGTCGAGATGGTTATAACTTTGATGGTCACCGATTAAGGGTTAGTTCCCCATCCTTGTTTTGACTATGTTGATTGATGTGTATCAAATTGCTTAATTTTGTCTGTTTACCCCATGTTGTTGCAGGTTGAACTCGCACATGGTGGGCGAGGATCATCATCATCATATGATCGCTACAGCAGTTACAGTAGTGGAGGGAGTCGTGGTGGTGTTTCAAGGCGCTCTGACTATCGTGGTGAGTAATTGCTACGTGTTATTGGTTTGCTTTATGCTAAGGATGTAATACATGTAGAATTTGTTGGTAACACTTCAAACTTGTGCAGTTTTGGTCACAGGGCTGCCACCTTCTGCTTCATGGCAGGACTTGAAGGTGAGAATTCTAGATTTTCTTAGTTAGAGGGCTATCTGATTTTAGTTCTTTCTTTCTTAAAATTGATTAGTTTTATCTCTTTTACTAGGATCACATGCGTCGAGCAGGTGATGTCTGTTTCTCTCAAGTTTTCCGTGATCGTGATGGTGAGTTGTCTAATATTTTTTCTATTTGGAATAAATTTGTGTTTTTGTTTAATATTAAGAGTCTATTGCAAATTTCTGTGGGCTTAAGTGTCACTGGTTTTGTGTTTCAGCACCTTCTGTAGGCTTAGCAAAATACTATACTATATATAAAGTGAAAGGAGGGGGTTGGTGTAAACACATTTTGCCACTTTTTACAGTTACATTGTTATCCTCAGAAAAACTAATTAGTATCATAAATACCCAATCATATATAACCTGCATAATATTCACTCTAACTACCTAAAAACTAATTTTTATTCTAACTACCCAATTATATATAACCAACATAATTTCCAACCTAACTGCCTAAGAACATGTGCCAGCATAATCACTTGTAGGTATAATTATCAAAATAACTATCAATTTAATAAAGAAAAATTCATGTCACATTAATTTATATTAAATTTATTTATTTAAATTGCACAGACATGGGTGTGCCCATAGCACTAGTTGAACTTAGAGGTTTATCTAGCACATCTATGTCAGCCTGGTGTTTGGTTATGTGTATTTTTGTTACATCTGTTTGGTAGCCATTCTCAATGTGGATGAGGGGGCTGATCGATGATTTTTATAAAAAGAATTCTGGCAAATCTTTACTTGTTTGTCGCATACTACTATTCTCTGAGGCCACACTGTGCATCTCAGGACGACGCAAATATTTAGCTTTATGGAGCTGAACTGTACAACTTATTAAACTTCAGTGTAGACTTTTCTGGATCCTCTGATGTGCCAAACCTTTTTGTTGGAAAGTACCTCTACCCATTACTGCTCATAGGAACAATCCCCACGCAGGAATGCCTGTGTGTCTATTCATGTGGATATGCTCAACAATCATCCTATTTTAAAAAATAATAATTTGGGGTGGTTTTTCATTTATCATGATTATAATGACCTTGTAAATAGTAGAGCTTAAAGGGATGGAGAGAGACGTTAACAGTTAAACTAGGATTCTAAATTTATTATTAATAGCATGAATTTATGTACCAGTTGCAAATATATTTGCTGGGAGAAGAGGTGTAATACACTGCTTATTCGTGGAATAACACTACATTTTTTCCTGGTGCATATTACTTAAATTTTTTTAGGGTGGTCATCTTAGTAAATGTATTTTTTTGGAGCATCTTCTGTGGATGTTAAAATTACTTAATGGTTGTTTTCTAGCTTGTTTGTCTTTTATTTGTTCTTTTTTAAGATTGTCAGCAAACAGTTTATTATGACTGTCCTATTTTTAAATTTTAAGTATCTTAAGTTTGTCATTCTGAGTTTTCTAATATTTGTACTCATTCCCCTGTTAATGCCTTTTGAAGATTTGATTCTTTTATAACACTATATTTGGAATGATAACTGTTTTTATTGTCATGGTTCATGTGTAGGTATGAGAGGGATTATTGATTACACCAACTATGATGATATGAAGTACGCGGTAAGTTAATACTGGACATAGAGTTCCATTTTTATGTTCCAGTATTTTTAAATGTTAGTGATCTTCAATCTTTCCTTTGCAGTGTTTTAGATTTCTGTCCATGATTTTATTTTGATTGCAATTTGCCCCTGATTTGTTGAAAGTTGCCATATGTATCTTTCAATAGTTCTTCATTGTTGAAAAGGAGAAGGAAGGCAGGCTATGATATAATGTTCTTTACTTGTTTGCTCAATTCATTGCAGATACGGAAACTTGATGATTCTCTGTTTCGCAATCAGTATTCCCGGGCTTACATACGGGTATGTAATGATGAACCCTTTATATTCTATCTTGGTGTTATTAGACAGTCGCTTTCATTTTTTTTTTTTTTTTTTGTCTGTGAAACTTTAGGTGGAGGAGTACGATCTACGAAGAAGCTTCTCCAGAAGTCCTAGTAGGAGTCCTGGCTATTCAAGGAGTAGGAGTCCTGGCTATAGCTACAGCAGCAGGAGCAGGAGGTCTGATGAATTCTAAATTTATCTGCCTTTCTAATTTTTGTCTGAATTACTCTACCCATTGACAGACTTTGCTTTTACATAGTGCTTCTCCAAGGGCCAGATACTCTCGTCGCTCTCCATCTAGATCTCTCTCAAGGTCTGTTTCATCAGGGGCTCTGTCTGACTCCCCTCGTTATGTTTCAAGGTAGATTATTGCTGTGCTTTTTTCTTTGGCTTATCAAACAATTTTTTGGTGCTTGAAGCCTTCCAGTTCTGTTATATTCTGTGTCTGGTATAGCTGTATTGTAGTTTCCTAAATGCATGAGATTTAGATGTGCAGCTACTAGTCTTATCCTTGTCTTGGGGAGATATTTGGCTGGTATTTTTATCAGCAACTGCCAGAGTGAGTTCCTGAGATGTTATATTTTCATGATTTGTTGCGTCAACAAGCTTAACATGAGGTATATGTATTATGAAGCTAAGTCAAAATTGCTATATGATTCATACTCTCTTCTCTCTCCTGATTATCACAGGCTTGAAGGGTTAACTGTCATTTTCAGAAGACTACTTCCAAATATGAAATTCTCCATTTTGATTTTAATGGTTGTGCTTTATTGTGTTTTCATCTGAGAAATAATTTGTTCAAAGCTAGTGCCTTTATGCCATTTAAAGTGCTTTTTAAGTGGTTATTATTTTCTCTCCTCTCTGTTTTTTTTTTTTTTTGGAACAGTGTGTGATCTTTCTTTCATTTTCCCTATTCTTCTTTGCATGCTTCTATTACGTGGCTTATTACTCGGATTATGATTCTAGTGATGGATGTTTCTTAGTTCTTTGGATATCACTGAACCAATCATTTTCCTTCCTCGTCTTCTTGTTGGATATAAAACCTTTTTATTTTTTTTTGGTCCAGCTTCTGGTTTCTAATGCTAAGCTTGTCATCTATGGATGACTGCTGCATGTTCTGTTACTTATTCTTTAGTAATCTTGAGTTTTTAAGATGAAACCATTAAAGGAGCAAAATGTTTTGCTTCTTATGTTGCTGATATGAGATGGATAGTTTTTGACCACCCAATTTTGTAAATGAAATTAAAAAAAGATGAAAGATACGAAATTTTTGATCTTCTACTTGAAGTTTTCAATTTACATTTATATATTATGGTCTCTTTTCCTGTAAAACATATGGAATTATCTAGGCTTTTTGTTCTGTTTCACCAGTCAAAAAGGCACCTTAATTTTTTCCAATAACTGGAAAAGGAGATTCACTGCTGCTTTCTAGCATAATGCATTTTAACTTCTAGTTACACAGAAGTCTGTCCCGTTCAGGCATTTTAATAGTCTGTTCAAAAGGCACCTTAGTAGTTGACAATTTTTGGAAAAAAGAAGAAAATATTTTTCTTCACAAAAGTCAGCACTGTTGGCTTCACTTCTGGGTGAATTTCAGATTAGTAATTCTGATAAGATATGCGTATGCTAGATGTCTTTTGTTCTCAAGTGTCACAATCCATTTTATCCTCGGGGATAGGGGTCAATTCAGAAAGGACTTGCCACCTTTTGTGGTTAATGATACTGTTATGAAGATTGGTTTTTTTGTTTTCTAGATCTGGATTTTCGCGGCGATCTGGGGATTTTGCATGTTAGGGACTTGAGGATTATGGTGCTCAAATATCATGCAACTCTTGGTTGTGGGCCCTGTGGCTGCATGCTGTTTTAGTTGATGAGCACCTGCTGCATAGCCTGGATGGTAAATTTTGTTAATACTTTTTTAACTGTGGCAAGTGATGCCCATGGTGCTAACTTCCCTAGTGAAGATGATGGATTCTTTCCTAATGTGGATTCTTGTCTAAGGTGGTTTTTGCAAAAAAGTAACAAAAACTAGAGTAGAATGGCACTTCGTAACTCTGAACCCAAGGTAACGATGACAGCATCATCTTTGTGTGGTTTACAACAGCTTCTTAGCTTTGCTGTTGGTAAAGTAGGAGCGAATTGTCTTACTCTTTGCCCTAGCATTGTGTATCATTGTCCTCCCACGTTGGAGAAGACCAGATTTGAAGAATGGGACAACAGTGAACGTGAAATTATTTTGGATTGGTCTAAAAGAGTGTGCATGTTAAGTGGTGCTAAAGATTGCTGGTAGATATTGTTTCCTTGGTTTGATTATCGACGTCGAGGTAGCATGGATGCATTTGGATCAGAAGTCATATTGGACTGTTCTGGATATTAAAATGGGTTTATTTTGGAAATTTTTGCAGATCTCCAAGGAAATTTAGAAGCCCAATACTATCTGTAAGTCATGAACTCCTCTGGGATTACTTCTTGTTTTCCATTCGACAAAACTGATCCCATTTAATCTTGTATATCTCACAGCGCCGCAAATATGCAAGCAGAAGTCCAAGCCTTAGTAGGAGCCGAAGCAGGAGCATCTCTGGATCTCTATCTCCTGTATGTATGCTTTCTCCTCCATTTTCTAATTATATTGTACTCGAGGAACTGCCTTTTTGATTGTTGTAATTTACAGGTGAGATCTGATTGAAGCTTTGATTCAAGCTCTACCTGGCTGCCTTTAAATGAGGGTTCTACGGAGCAGACTTAGGACCCAATCATTTGTTCCCTGGGATTTGGATTAGTAATATTGTGTTGCGGCTTTTGCAAGGAACATGCTGTCACCTTCATCCCCCCTTCACAGAACTTACATGACGTATGAATTTGGCCTGATAAATATGTATACCTTATGATGTGGAGATTGATTTTCGCATTAGAACTTCTGATTACTGTGTCCTCTCTTGTCGGCGCTCTCATTTTCCTTCTGCATATCCTATCCTTATATATTATGGTTGTCGTCTTACGCATCAATGGGTATATATAGCGCTGTTGCTTTTATTGATGTAGTGACGTGGTTGTGGTAAAAGTCCCATCACTTTTTACTCTCTTCCCTATTATCATACGAGGATTTTGCTTTGCTTTCTGAAAGAACTTGATCTCGATAAGTAGGCCTCCTGATAAAGATTTTGCTACAATGATGTTTAACAAACAAGCAAGTAGTGTTCGATGTGAAGAGATTGATGAGGAAGTGGTTTCGGGGGGAACTCCGACTGATCTTTTGAAAGGGAGGCGCGCTACGGCCATGCTAGAGGGTACTTCAATGAAATTGGTACCTGCCTCGCGAAATTCCGGCGAATGAAGATGTCCTGAAATTTGCAATATGCATCATGCAACGGAAGGATATCATCTTCTATAACATTTCAAGCCTACAAGTTTAGTAGAGTGCTCTTAAAAAGGAACAAAAATTGCCTTGGGGCTATAGCTGTAGAGGAAAGAATTATATATATCTCGAGAACACGTTCATGCACATTAGAATCTTTATTAGCATTTGTCGGACTCTCTGTATCCCTAGTGGAAGTTTCAAGGAAGTTACTATATGGTTTTATTGAGAGGCGAGAAGCAGGCAAAAGATAAAAGAACGGGAAGTGAGTTGTCTAAATTGCCAATGGAAGAAAGGCTTCCTTGACAGAAATTTTAACATCAAATTTGGTGTTCATGCTTTAAATATATAAATAATAAAGATGTCGGAAGGCAAAGAGAATAGAACAAGATACCATCACGCAAGTGGCGAAAAGGTTGAGAATGGGGAACATGACAAAATCGCTTAGGCGTTTATCCAGTTATGAGTTAAGATCCCATGTCTACAAAGAGTCTGCTCTTTTAAGAAAGTAAAATCGAGAATGGGCCTTCAGCCAGCGGAGTCGCAAGGCAATTGCTCGCTCTCGGTTTCTTGACCTTAATTCACCTTTAAAATATGAACAGCCAATGAGTGATTTATTCAGAGAATTTCCTGAGAACATGGATGTCATGTTACTCGTTATGAAAACAATTTCAAAGCCAATTTGCTGGAAATGTTTACAACTTTGCCATTGAAGAGTGGATCTCATTGTCCCCCAGGCAAAGACACGAGGAAGGAAGCCAAAATCCATCACACAATCACTTGGCCACCAAACTTTTAAGGCCATCTAACAGTTTTTCGTCTGCCAATCTTGACAGGCTACAACTGTTGTTCATTGTTTCTCAAACATTATATATAAATTGTGTTTCAGTCATAGTTATCATAACGTTTCATCACAACATAATAAGCAGTCTATGACCGATTTTGTGATGGCATCCTCTCAGGTCCATGCCTCTGACGAAAGCTGTTAGTCCTGAGACTACCATCAGCCCCACCAGCTGCTTGATGGAATGGTCCCCAACCCGAGTCTCTATCAATCTGACTCGAGGGAAAGGAAGGCAAGTGTTCTCGGTCCCAACCATGGAAGCGATTGGGCAGGGAATTTTCTGCTTCTTGATAGGTTCTTCCAGATGAACTTGAAGGGATGAAATAAAAAGCACCAGTCTGGTCAGACGATGAAGCAACTGGACCAACTTGTGCCACACTCCTATGAGCACTTGATCTCCGCGATCCAGACATCACTGGATTGCGTATTGATGGTGTATTGCTTGGTTGCTGAAAATATGCCTGAAGAGCTTGAACACGGTCTCGGGTCCGAGCTACACTGCCAGGGTAAGGTGGAATCATTGATGAGACAACTGAGCTCCCAGCTCTGGCAGCAGAACTGTGTCCAAATTCAGAATATCATAATGTTAAAAAAAGGAAACAAAAACAACAAAACAATCGCACAGGAAAAATAGCTAAGGCCTGCTGCTGATAGTGATATTGCCTATAGTTAAACTGGCTGGTGAGAAACTTTCTGAGATGGACTACCTAAAATCAACTTTGCTCGTTCAATATAAAATAAAAGTGTCTAAGATGATGTTTTCCTTCTGAACAATAGAACTCAGTCCTATTCATTAATTCAATCTATTCCCTTTGGGAGACTAGGGACTTTGATCTGGCAATGACTTGTGTACTTTTTGAGGGCTTTGGCCCAGTTACAGGATACATGCATATTCTAGTACAACACTACTTACAAAAGAAGTTGTGACGCCTAATCCAGTAAATGCATATCGGATTACTGATGAACAAATACCAACCTGTGACCAACAATGAAAGGATGCACAAAGGATCCCGATCTCGGAACATCAGAATTCGTTCTAGCTGCTCTTTGAGCCGCGGATGGGATTGAGGGTTGATCAGCACCACCAATGCGACTGCTTGTCGTAGGGAAAGGGGAGGAATGGTGATCCCAACTGTGATAATGAACATCCATGCCAGGGAAAGCATAAGATGCAGGTATCTCATTTGGTACAGATGCACCATTCCAATGATTATTAAAATTAGAACCATCGGAAACGCTAGCATTTGAATTTGATGATGAGGGATGGACTGGTCCAAAGTAGGCAATATATGGGCATGGATGACTCGCAGATGATATAGCTGTATGCTCAGCAAGGATAGCGTGTTGTCCAAAAATTTCATGATCTGCAAAATAGGAAATGCCCTATCAATTACCAAGCTTCACAAGACTTGCAGCTTTAAGTCAGAAGAAAAGACCTTACATGCAGTAGATGAGTATTCTCCTTCTCTGCAAAGTTTAAAAAGATAACATGTCAAAACACTGTAAATGGGAAAGAAACAAAGTAACTCTAAACTTCAAAATGCAATGTGACAACACCATGACCAAATCAAAGCAAGACAACCTTAATGTGACATCAATTGTCGCCTTAATCAAAAAAACAAAATGCCATAAATAAACATGAAACATCCAGTACAAGTACATTAACAGAATAGTGACTTGCTGGTGGTTGAGCAAGGGTTACAGAAAAATAATCAGTACAGCCCATTCTAATGTTGATAACGAATGGTCAACCTTCACCAAGTTCTCAAACCCAAACTTCCAACCTAAAATCTTCAGTTCAAGGTATCAAGGGCCGACTAGGTTGGCCTGTCACCTTGGATTGCAGTCCTTAACCATTCCCTCACCTCCACAATGGCCAATTATACTGAAACAGACCTTTTTCAAAAAAGGCAATAACTAATGGATCAAAGCTTGAAGACAACAAACCTTGTTAATGTGAACAATTCTTGTATTTTTAACAAAAATAATCAATACAATGTTGAATAGGAAATCTAGGAACTTTAAATTTACATCTCATCCAGAAAACCAGAGTCTCCATAAGCCACTTAGACAAGTATTATGTGCAAAAACTAGCAATTCCCGCACTTAACCAAACACCAAAATTCTGGCACGCCTTAAAAGCTTTCTGCAGTGCTGTGTGTTAGGCTACCACTGGACCTCGTATATCCCTTCCCATCTAACTGAAAACTGAGTGGGTTTCCTTACTGGAATGGATTTAGAACTCTATTTAAGTAGTCACAAAGTAGAAATGGACTGGATGACCTTGAACTTCTCCTTATGCAGAAAACATATCCAATTTCTTCTCTTCCTATTGGCATTTACAGGCAACAGGCATCAAAAATCATGAAGCTTAAATTCTTTAATCCACGAACGCTTCATTTTCTATATCAAAGAGTCAAGCTCTTGGATCTGGTGATTGAACAAGATAGGAGCTTCTCCCCTATTTTTGTGTTTCTCTTAGCTTGAATAAAATATTTGCCTTTCAGCTTTAAGCTTAGCACTACAATGATTAAACTTTCTCCAAATGACTTTTCTGTGTGTTCCTACTATTCTAGGAGCATATAATGCTCTACACAAATAACAAGAGGAGAGAGAATAGATGATTGGAGTGGGAGGCAGACTGATCCTATACTTTAAATCTACTCTGCAACAAGTAGTAGTTCTAAATTCTCAATACATTATTAAACACATATTTGAACAAAAACAGACGAGAGTGCTTTAGTAAAAAATGCAGCTCACAGCTGGGAATTATAAAATCAGGATCTCAAATCCCACCACCCCAAAAAACTCATGATATCATGCACTTAAGAAAAATCCTTTTCAGTATTTCCCCCCAATGGATAGTAGAAATCATTCAATGATGTAAGAACACCACAGTTGTGCTCCACCACATGGTCCTTAATACTTTCTTTACTGCGAGCCCTTGCTATCACATTTGAATATCTTTTGTTTAGAAGAGTTTAGTGGGAAAAAACAAAGCAAAACACAGCTGTATGGAAGAGCAATTTTTTTTGGATTAGAGACAGAGATGCAGGTAAAGTAGGGGCAATTATATATAGGTAAAAAATCTCGATATATAGGTAAAAAGTTATAGGTTTAACCCACACTTAAAGGAAATTGCCCCACTGTCCTTCAAAAAAAGTTTATTGGTGTTTCACACTTTTTATGTCCCTACGTCCAAATAAGTCAACACACTTAAAAATTAAAAAAAAATAGAAAATAACACCTTGTCTAAACAGAGAGAGAGAGACTCAATTTTCCATTTATTCTCTTTCTCAGTCTTTTCCAACGTGCTCCAGCAGACAAACCCATTTGAAAAGTTTTTCACTTGCGCAGTGGAGCTCTCTAAGTGCTCATTCTTTTTTTTTTTCATCTTAACAAGAAATCTAGAGAAAATTTATTAGAAGAGAAGAAAACTCCTTTATTAGGAACTTGACATTTGAGAGATACTTTATTTTTTTTTGCTCAATTTTGAATTGACTATGTACATAACTTTTGGCATGTATTGATTACATTGTTAGTTAAACATATATCTTTTGATACCGTTAGTAGTAGAATTTCACATGTTAAGTTTGCCGCCACTGAATCACATTCTAGCTCAGCCCCTTCTCAGAGGTAACAACTAATGAAACACAAATGGCATCTTGGATGTGATATTCAGTTGCAGAAACCAAATCCACCTCAAGGTGAGAATTCAAAAACATAGAAAACTGAGAGATTAGCTGTAGCATTCAAAAGTTCACAAAAGAATGCATCATGAAACGAAAGTCAAATTCATTTAGAAAGTATATTGTGGTTGTACTCACTCAAAAGATGA